ATGTGGTTCAGAATGGAGTGAAATGGGCTGGGGAGATGGCTCAGTGGAATAAGTACTTCCCTGGCAAGCACAAGGGTTGGAGTTCAATCCCTGGTTCTGCCAAAAAAAAAAAAAAAAAAAAAAAAAAAAAAAAAAGAAAGAAAGAAAGAAAGAAAGAAAGAAAGAAAGAAAGAAAGAAAGAAAGGGATGGAGTGAAAGCTCTCTGAGTCCCAGCCAAAAGTTTCCTGAGGGTCTGGTTCAGCCTAGCCTCAACCCAAGTCCACAATTCAGGAGCTCTGGTGCCAGTCCCACTTGTAACCTACAGAGACACGAGCTCATTCTTCTTAGGCACCACAGTTTCCTCAACTAGCTAAGGTGTTCCCTGTTGGCCAGCTCCAGTCTCTTCCTGCTGTGAGGCAGACTGGCCTGGAAAGACCAGGCGCTTTGAAGCTGGGTGCACTTAGGCTGAACTCAGCTCCAGCACTGCAGTACTTTGAGCATGCCCTCCTCTTACCTCTCCTCCAGGCCCAGATCCTTTGTAAAGCAGAAAGATTTCTATCTCAGAGTTATGATGTCAGTTAAATAATATGAGGTCTGGGAAGGGCCCAACACAGCAGGTGCCTGGTAAGACTGGGTATCTGGGCCCTGGCACCTCCTTCTGCTGGTTTCTGTATCACACTCTGCCCCTTTGTCAATCTCTGATCTCCAACTCAGTCAGCAAGGCAGAGAGAAATCCCTGACCTCTCAGCTATGGCCCTGGAAACCTAAGGGCCATGTATATCACCGAGGTTCAGGCCTGTGACAGTCTATCAGGGTATCGGGAGATGCTCTCCCTCTAAAATGGTTAATCTCCCAAGATTATCTTACCTTCTTTGACAGTGGGTGGCACCCTCGGGAACCAAGTGGCAGCTGATTTTGGAATCAATTTGCTAGTTTGATATGCTATCTCAATCCCATTTAACCAAGTGCTCAGTGCCCCTAGATAACACAATCAGTGCAATCGACAGTGACGGGAAGTACCATTAGCTCTGCTCCATTGCCCAGCACCCACCTGGCTGCAGGCAGGAGAGTATCCCAGCCCAATCTGGTCACTTCCCAAGTCAAAGAATCTCTGTGTACTTCCCCTCCCAAAGAGAGTTCCATGGATACCCACCCTAGGAGCTTGTTGGACAGTCCTGGAAAGGGACCCACAAAACCATGTACAGCTCCAGGGGGCTCTAGTCTGTGATAAGAAAAGCTCTTCTTCCTGTGTCATGCTAAAATCAATCTCAGTTCACCCAGCAGACTGGGTGACATGTGGGGAGGTAGCCAAAGAGAATACCCCTGTCCTGGCATGTCGCAGGTACTGCCTGGATCCTCCTTCACTGATTCAGATGAAAGACAGTGAGCAGTCTCAGACCATCTGCTCTGCAGGATATGAGCCTGGCTGGCCATCTAGTTTGGACACTGATATCAGAGCCTGGCACAGAATGTCAGGACACAGATGGGCTACTTTAGTGAGCATTTCAGGACACAGCAACTAGTCGTGGTTTCTTGAGGCTTTGGGTTGCCCAGGTCTCTCGGATCCAGGGGAATGGAGAGTACTCCAACCTGTACCCACCTCCCCCACCCCAATTTCCTCCCTCCTCCCATTTGTCTGACACATCATAGCTGCTCTGGTCTCCTGAACAGAATGTAGGCCATCTGGCACTTCCTCACGCCTGCCAATCCATGCGGTGGGTGTGAGCCTGTGGAATGACAGCCCTACCACCCGACGTGCAGAAAAACCAATCTTCTCCTTGCAAACTCTGTTATCTCGCCCTGGCTATGCTTCCTTTCAAGTCCTCATGCAGCCATTTTGAGGACTGTAGGAGTCAGGAATATTGTCCTTTCTCAGAGTTGGTAAAATTCTGGGTGAACTGAACCTGGAGCCAGCATCCATTAACCATATCATGGCAGGTTAAGGACTTAGGGAACCCAGTGGGCCACAGCAGAATGTGTATTATTCCTCCAGTTATGTGGTTGAATAAGTCAACATAATCAGTAGTAGAGCAATCTGGTTTTTGTTTGTTTGTTTTGTTTTTGTGGGATCGGGGATTGAACTCAGGCCCTTGGGCTTGCCAGGCATGCATTTATTCAACTATGCCATCTCCCAGCCCCACTTTTTTATAAACAACCTGATGTTTGTTTGTTTGTTTGTTTGTTTGTTTGTTTGTTTTGGCAGAACCAGGGATTGAAATCAGGCCCTTGTGCTTTCCTGGCAAGCGCTTATACTATGAGCTATCTCCCCAGCCCCTAGTAGAGCAAGCTGTACCTCTGACCAAAGAGCAGACAAGCTTCTGGCTACCTGGATAACCGTGTTGGGAAGGATTCTGAAATCCCATGTGGCTGCAGGAAGAAATCACCAAAACTGATCCCCAGTGTCCACCATGCAGGGGGGTGGGGCAGCATGCCAGATGGCCATTCCATCCCTGTTTCAGATGCTGACCCAGAGGGACCCTGACTAGTGTCATAAAAAAGATAAAAAGGAATTCAAGGAGAGATAGTGAATGGAGAAGGGAAGTAGCATTACCTTGGTCAGTCATAAAAAGAAGTGCGATATTACGGATGAGATAACTAAGGGCTGGAGATTTTGTGCTCCTTGTCTAGGGCACAGAGCGATGCATCTGGGAGCTGAAGCCTCATCTGCCCAGCTCCAGACACTGGTTCTCACCAATTCCATTGTTGTTCTGGAAGGATCATAAAATTAGAAAAGAACAAGGTCTGAGTTCAATCCCCGACTCCACCAAAAAAATAAAAATTAAAATAAAAAAGTAAAATAAAATTAGAAAAGAGGAAAAAAGAAATGACTTTCTGTGAAGTAAGAAAAATTGGGATCTCATAGCTGGGTGTGTTGGTGCCCACCTGTAATCCCAGCACTCAGGAGGCTGAGGCAAGATCACCACAAGTTTGAGGCCAGCCTGGGCTATATAGCAAGATTTTGTCTCAAAAAACAAAAAACAAAAAACAAAAAAAAAAAAGAAAAGAAAGAAAAACAGAAGGTATATCTCATGGATGTATAACAAAGAAGTTAAAAAAAAAAAAGTTATACATCCATGAAGAAATCTAAAATAGGGCTGGCCAAATTGCTCAGCGGATTCAAGCACCTGCTTAGGTAGATGCAGGGGCCAGGGGTTCTATCCCAGGCCTGCCATGCTGGCCCTGCACCCAGGGCGCTCTGAGATGGTGACTGAGACTGAGCGTGGTGGCACAGCCTGTAATCCCAGTGCTTGGGAGGCTGTAAACAGGAGGATCAAGGGGCTGGGGAGATGGCTGTGGAATAAGCACTTCCCTGACAAGCACAAGGGCCTGAGTTCAATCCCCAATTCCGCAAAAAAAAACCAAAAAAACAAAAAAACAGGAGGATCACTATGAGTCCAATCTACATAGTGAGACTCTGTAGACTTTGTACTAAATACATACGTACATACATAAAATAAAATCTAAAATAAAAGTTAGGTGTGGTGACATTTGCCTAGTAATTAATTTTAATTTAATTAATATATTTTAATTTGTTGTTGTTGCTGAAATACTGGGGTTTGAATACAGGGCCTTCCCACTGAGCTATATCCTCAGCCCTTAAAAAAAAAAATTTTAGAGGACCCAGAGAGATAGCTCAGTAGAATAAGTGCTTGCCTGGCAAGTGCAGGGTCCTGAGTTCAATCCCCAGTACTGGAAAAAAAAAAAAAAAAATTAGGGGACAGGATAGGGCCTGGCTAAATTGTGCAGCTGGGCTCTAATTTCAGTCTTCTTGTCTCAGCCTCTCAAAATACCTAAATGATAGGCACAATTTTGAAATTACTGAAGGCTGGTTGAAAAGTTCATCTTTGGGGCTGGGGAGATAGCTCAGTGGAATAAGTGCTTGCCTGGCAAGTGTAGGAGCCTGAGTTCAATCCCCGGTTCTGCCAAAAAAGAAGAAAGAAAAATTCATCTTTGCTTTATTTTATTTATTTTTTTTAATTTTATTTATTTATTTATTTATTTATTTATTTTTGGCAGAACTGGGGATTGAACTCAGACCCTTACACTTGCCAGACAAATGCTTATTCTACTGAGCCATCTCCCCAGCCCCCCAAAATAAATTTTAATGGACTGAGGAAATAGCTCATTAGTATAAGTGCCTGCCTGGCAAGTGCAATGTCCTGAGTTCAATCCCCAGTACCAAAAGTAAATAAAAAATAAAAATAAATTTTTAAAAGTAGTGGGAGTTATGAGTATAACTTCGTGTGAAGGTCCTGAATTCCACCAGCAATGCCATTAAATAAATAAATAAATAAGCTTTATATATGAAGTAGCTCGTAAGACTAATGACTAGCAATTACACTGAGAACAGGAAATAAATTTAAATTCTACCCATAAGAGCAGGCAGAAAAATCATTGTTGTAGATGATAGAAGCTACATCTAGCTCTTTTTCTTTTCTTTTTAGTGCTGAGACAGGGTCTTGCTAAATCAAATCACTAAATTACTCAGGCTGGACTCTAATTTGTGATCTTCCTACCTCAGATTCCCAGAGTGCTGGAATTACAGACATATGCTACTGCACCTGACAGCAGTCTTACTGAGGTTGTCATTTCCCATCTTCCATTGGTCATGTGATTTTGAGCAAGTCATTTCCTTTTTCTGGCCTATCCACTCATTAGTAAAACAGGCCCCTTGGCTGTGTTGAGGATGGCAAATATTTGTCATGTCATGGCTGCCTGGAGTGCTTTGTTGAAGATTCTGAAACTGAATCTAAGAACAGCAGGAAATAGTGCAATGATCGATTAATAATGTCTGTCTCTGGTGCTGGAGGAGAAAGGATAGCTCATGTGCCATCCTTAAAGTATGTGATATCATCTCCATTCTAGCTCTAAAATTTTATAGCTTCGTGACTATCAACAATGAGCTCATTCCCCAAAGCTCTCCATCAAAATGTAGATGGATCTCCTACTGTCTTAGCTGGGCAGGATGCTGTTCACTATGACATAGCAGGAGAACATCTGATTCTCCATTGTTATTTCAGGACTCTCCTCAGAAGCCCCCACCATGGGGGAAGGACAAGCCACAGGCATCAAGGAGACAGATGGAGAGCTGACGGCCGCCCCCACACCTGAGCAGCCAGAGCGAGGTGTCCACTTCGTCACAACAGCTCCCACCCTGAAGCTGCTCAACCATCACCCACTGCTGGAGGAATTCCTTCAAGAGGGGCTGGAGACAGGAGAGGAGGAGCTGAGACCAGCACTGCCCTTTCAACCTGACCCACCTACACCCTTCACCCCAAGCCCTCTCCCTCGCCTGGCCAACCAGGACAACCGCCCTGTCTTTACCAGCCCCACTCCTGCCATGGCCGCAGCACCCACACAGCCCCAGTCCAGGGAGGGACATTGGAACCTCGGGTCAGAGGTCCCTGTGCTTCATATCACAGCCTCCCTACCTCCAGGGCCCAGCCTTGCAGTGCCCACCCTACACCCAGGAGAGAGACCTAGTACTACACCCCCCAGCAGAGCCTGGACTCCAACCCAAGAGGGTCCTGGAGATATGGGAAGGCCATGGGCTCCCGAGGCCATGTCCCAGACCACAGGGCTTGGGACTGAGGGCACCATCACCACCTCCACAGCTTCCGGAGATGATGAGGAAACCACGACTACTACTACCATCATTACCACTACCATCACCACAGTTCAGCCACCAGGTCAGCTACCTGCTGGCTTGTGGACCTGGAAATGGGGACAATGGGAGCTGTGGGGTCCCTACATGGCTCTTACCCTGACACTCCTTTTGGCACCAAGAAAAGCCTTCAGGAGGCATGCGGTTTGGAACTAGATAGATCTGGGTTCAAATCCTGACTCTCCCAAATATAACTCAACCCTAGGAATTTTATTTAACTTCTCTGAACCTCAGCTGTAAAGTGGTGAAAAGAAAGCCCATCTTTCTGAGCCATTCTCAGAACTGAGATAAGATTTCACATAGTATGTGTTCAGTAAAAGGTGCCCCTTCTTTCAATAGGGGAATAAACATCCCCAGAGGTGGGCTTCACCATACACATGTACACATATGCACACAATTCAACCTTAGCTGATCTCACCAGAGCTGGGCTTAGCCTTGTGTTTCCTCCTGCCTCCCAGGCCCTTGTAGTTGGAATTTCTCTGGCCCAGAGGGCTCTCTGGACTCCCCCCAAGCCTACAGCTCATCCTCTGATGTCGGCCTGGACTGTTTCTACTACATCTCTGTCTACCCTGGCTACGGTGTGGAGATCAAGGTGAGTGACTTGGATCAGGCAAGGGCAAAGCTGGGGCTAGTGTGTTAGCCTTTCCCAGAAATGCACCTGCTATAGAAGAGAAGATGTCTCAGGGCATCAGCTGAGTGAATGGCACCTAGGGCCAGAGCTGGGGAGATAGGCCTAAAACATGCTCAGTTTCTGTCCTGTGCACTGGGGAGTGAAGAGGGCTACTGCTCCCACCTGGCAGTGCTCTGAGAGGGCCACAGGAGCAGAAGCTGTGTCCACCCTATTCCCCCATGGAATTGACCAGGGGCTCAGGAGAGCCTGAGGAGGGGTCTCTCACTTTGGCTGGGCAGGAGGCTGGGTAAATCACCAGAGTTCCCAGTGTGAACTCTGCATCTGACTCCATGTGGCTGAGTAGAAAAAGCACAGGGCTAACTGGCTGGGCTTGAGAGAGCCATGGAGCCTCCATCCTCCATCATTCACTCACCCATTCCTTCAGCAAGTCCTCCCTGAGCATCTCTTCTTGGGTGACCTCTGTGCTGGCCACACTATCAGAAAGATGGCTAGCTTGTAGGTGAGCCAGATCTTCCCCCAACCTCCTGGACCATCTTATCCCTGCCTAAGGAGTAAGGCTCTCTCTTGGAAGCTCCAGGCCTAAGCCTAAGGTTCTCAGATGTCTCACAGGTTTCTCAACCTTCACTAACTCAAATCTTTCTTTTGTTTCTTCAAACATGCTTGTCATTCTACTCAGTCGAGGTCAGAAACTTGAAATAGAACCACCACATTAAAGGGGCTGGTGAGATGGCTCAGTGGTCTAAAGCATCTACTTAGAACAAGCTTAGCAAAGCACAGGGACCGCAGTTCAATCCCCCAGTACCACATGCCAGCCAGCCCTCCCCCTGGTGGGCTGAGCTGGCCACACACACACACACACACACAAATTAATTAATTAATTAAAAAAAAAAAAAAAAACCACCACATTAAGATGAGCATGGCATCCCTAGGGCTGGGCAGCAAGGGGTCACCTGGCCCTTCCTTCTCCTTCTTCTCCTAGTCTAATGACCTCATCACCAAGGTCTATCACCATGACACCACAACTCTTCTATTTGCCTACTTCTCTCCCCCTATCCCTACAACCACCATGTGAACCAGCCCCCGGCCATCCTTCCCCAGTCATGCAGTGGCCATCTCATCTGTCATCCACACACATGTGCTCTCTGATACCCCTCTTCACCCACACTGGAGCCACTTTTCCCAGATGAACCCCCCACCCCAGGCTCTCTCAGGGGCTCCGAGTCAGGGCCATTCCTCTGGGTGCATCTCTTGCCATTTCTTCCCTTGCTGTCTCCTCCCCCTGTCTTACCCAGCCTTTTGTCCCTGTGACCAAATACTCTAGAAAAACAACTTAAAGGAGGAAAGACTTATCTTGGCTTATGATCTCAGAGGTTTCAGTTCATGGTTAACTAGATCCATTACTTGTAGGCCTGTGGTAAGGCAGAAATATAACAACAGAGGCCCTGGTGAAGGAGAGCCACTCAACTCATGTCAGCCAGGAAGCAGAGAGAAAGGGAAAGAACGAGGGAGAAAAATATAGTTCCCAAGGTCACAACCCCATGATCCACTCCCTTCAGTTAGGTCTTACCTCACACTTCCATCACCTCCCAAGAGTATCATCAAATTATGAGCCCATCAATAATGAATCCACTGATGAAGGCAGAGTCCTTATGATTCAATCACTTCTCTAGACCCCATTTCTCAACACTGATACATTGGGGATCAAACCCTCAATAGATGAGTCTTTGGGAGACAATATTTAAACCATAACACTGCCCCCTTTAGGATTCAACCTCAGCATTACCCTCTCTGGTCATTCTTTCCTGAAACCTAAAGCCTGGGCCATCACCCTCCATCTTGGCCCTCACCATTGCCTTCAATGGTTCCATCTTTATTTATTATTATTTTTTTTTTTTTTGGCAGAACCGGGGGTTAAACTCAGGTCCTTGCACTTGCCAGGGAAGCGCTTATTCCACTGAGCCATCTCCCCGGCCCCTGGTTCCATCTTTAGCTGCCCACCTCCCCAGGCAGATCATGAGCTCCTTGAGTGAAGCCTTGCTACACAAGGGTCAAGATAGATATGGAGGAAAGAGAGCAGAAAAGGACATTTGACCTGGAGATTGAAATAGATAGAGAAGAGAGCATCCTACCTAGCTGAAAGACTTTGGACTGGGACGTAGGAGCTTCTGGGAGAAGTAGAACAAGAGTTGAGAAGCAGGGCAGCACTGCCCAGCCTCCACCTCTCACCCCACTTCCTACCCATCACCACTGCCTGAAGACCCTGGATTGGGGCCTGAAGCTAGCAGCATGACAGGGAACAGTGCCTCCAGCCATCCACCCCTCCTGGGAGTCAGGGCCAGCTGGGAGCCAGGCCCTGGGAAAGAGAGACCTCTCCGACCCCTGCTGGGCTCCTCCCTTCTTTCTGCTACTGTTGGCTGTTACTCTGCAAGCCCTGGGCCCCTCACTCTGGGCTGAAGGGAAGGGTAATTAGAAGCAGCCACCTCCCTCTCAAGCCATTAGCACTCAGCGCCGCTTAATTAAGGTAATTAATGTAAAATCATCACTTAATGAGAGGTGGCACCGGCTGTGGCTCACAGGGTGGAAGCCAGCTGCAGGTGTAGGAAAGCGGGTAAGAGGGGGCAGATGCCAGGCTGGGTGCCCCCCTGCAGACCTGGGCTGGCTCACCTGCCCACCAAGTATACCACTTGCAGTGAAGCCCACTGGGGTACTACCTACCAAGGGCATACCAGATAATGGGGCAAGATGCCCTGTTGGCTCTGCCTGCCCCTGCCCTAGCACAGCCCATGCCCCACCCCAGATGCTGAACCCTTTACACAGCCCTAGGTCTGCTGTCTAGTGCTGCTACATTTATTTTTCCATCAAAATGCAAAAAGCTGTTCGTTACCGGGCAACCTTGAAATGGAGACTTATAGGCCTGGATTGCAGGCAGGAAAGAAGGCACAGGGTGGCCCCCTTCCACCTTGCCACCATGAAGGCAGAGTCCTCGAGGACTCTAGTCTCCAATGGCCTGAGATAGAGCCTGAAGCCTTGGAGGAAATGGTATTGCTAAAGCTGTGTCAGCACCTGACTTAGAGGAGGAGCAAGAGACAAGAACAGGCAGGACTGAGCAGTATTTAAGATTCTTCCAGGAGAGTTTCTGGCAACCTCCACCCAACTCAGTCCTCCTGGCCACGCTACACCAGCCACCTGGAAACTGAAGCAGAACTGACACTGCAAGCCTACTAGATAGTTAAAACAAAACAAAAAACTGAGGCCCAAGCATGGAAAGAGAATTGCCTCACATCACTCAGCTGTTTTGTTTTGTTTTGCTTTGCTTTGTTTTGTTGAGACAGGGTCTTGATGTAGTGCATGGTGGTCTCAAACTCACTATGTAGCCCAGGCTGGGCTTGCACTCCCAATGATCCTTCTGCCTCAGCCTCCCGAGTACTGGGATTACTGTCATGCACCATCACACCTGGCTTCAGGGACTGAACTCAGGCCCTTGCGCTTGCCAGGGAAGCGCTTATTCCACTGAACCATCTCCCCGGCCCCTGGTTACATTCTTGAGAGAGGCTTGGCTTTGGAGCAGTGTCCTCCTGCCCAGACTGGCAGCTGAGCCAGGCCATACTGAGGGCAGGATAGGTGAGCTGAAAGGCCTTGAATGCTGCCAAATTTCCTCGGGCTTGGGGAGAAGGGCCAGCCATGGCTTATCTCAATCATGTGTCAACATCAGCTCTCCTCCCTCAGTTCCCCAGAAGAAAAGCTGGAGCAGATAGGGGATAGAGTCAGAGCACCCTTCAGCAGATCAGCCAAATGCCAGCTTGACCCTCTGCCACATGACTACAGCCACTGCGTAAAGACTGAGGTCCTAAGGGGACTCTCCTCAATTTCTCTTATTGAGCAGCACCCTCAGGGCTATCAGAATCCCTAAAAGCCCAGTTCTGCCTACAGCCGCCCTCCAGAACCTGCTCCTTCCCCTGCCTCCCACCTCCCTTCATGGTGCTGCAGCTGTTGGTACCCTCTCAGGCTGAGGGTCCAAGCCAGCAGCAGGGTAGAGGCCAGGTCGAGTCCTCCTTGGTTCAAGGAGGCAGGATTGCTTCAGCTTGGGTTCAGGCATTGGTCTAGAGTCTTCTTTTTCAAAAGGTTCAGAGACCTTTTGATAGCCCTGCAGGATAGTTGAATATGAGCCTCATGGCCCACACGGGTCCCATCCCCTCTCCAGGCAGCCAGTCTCCCTGTGAGAGCTCCAGGCCTTTCTGGGCCTGGTGCCTGGCTCTCACTGCACTTGGCATTCTAAGAGCCTTCCCACTGCCAGCCTCCATCTTGGCTTGGCTGCTCTCTGCACCATCTGGAGCCTGGGCACAGCTGCCCACAGTCCCTGCCCTCATGCCCAGGTGGTCCCTTTGGCACACGGTTCTCTCAGGCCAGGCCAGCTGTCTGTTTGCTATCCAGAACATCCTGACTCTAAACCAGGATAGCAGCAGGCCTCATGGCCTGATATGAGGGGCGGTAGGGGGCCTGTGGGGGTTGGGTTGGATTTCTGAACAACTTCCTGTTTGGACTCTAGGAAAGGCCATCCAAAGTGATGATAGGTGCTAAAAGGCCTGGACCTATGGATTTAGGCCCCTCTTTCATCCCTAAAACAGACCTTACAAACAAGGTATTAAACAAGTGCCTGTTCATAAGGATACATGGGCTGCCATGTAAGATTCAGTTCCAGTCCTGGCTCTGCAGCAGCCTCTCAGGGACGCAGATAAGCCCTGGCCTTCTCAGGGGGCCTCAGCTTCCCTCCCTACAAAAGAAGATTAAACCAAAATACTGTCTGTTGCCCCTTCTATCCTGTCTCTTAGAGTGTGGCTCCTTCTCTGGGCTCAGGGAGCTCTTCATAAGCTCCACTGCACAGTGGCACCCAGGTCCTTGGCCCTGCTTCCTGGCAGCTGCCAAGCTTAGGCCTCTGCCACAGTATACACATGGGGATGGGGATGGGGATGGAGGCAAGAAGAGCTGTGGCCAGCATCTGAGGGTGACATTCAGGTGTTGGGTGGGTGTGACACATGGAGACACCCTTGAGTTCCTCTGTACAGGGTTGTGCTAATTTGTACACTATCCTGCCTGCCAGTCACATTATCTGGACCTGTGCTTAAGGCCTGACTAGTAGCTTCCATGGGGCTGACAGGTGAGGCAAAGCTGATGACCTGGGCATTGGCAGGAAACAATCAGAATCCTCCCTTCTTCCCATCCTGGAGGGGCCAGTTCTCTCAAAGCAGCAGCGTCTTCTCCTTGAACTGCCCCCGTGGTGCGCTGGGAACAAAGCAGTGCTGGACAGGAGAGGGACCTGTGGGAATTGTCCTCAGCTGTCTCTGCTCCTGCCTGGACCCAGAGCCCCTCCCATCCCTGGAAGGGCAAGGGGAAGACAGCCCTCATGAACGGAGCTGACATTTCAATCTGTCTCCCAGGTTCTTCAGAGGCCTGCAAATTGCATCAAGTCTTCATCTCCCCCTGTGTCCAACATCCAGCCCTGTCTGGCCCCTGTCAGCCTGGCCCTCAAACAAATGACAAATTACATTCTGGCCACTGCAGCAGACCCACAAGTGGGTGCTTGAAACTGAGGGGACCAGGGCTACACAAGCAGCCTCCAGCGGAGAACAGGGAGCTATTCTGTTCCTCATTTTCATCCCAACCCTTGTCATCACACTGGGCTGGGAGCCAGGCCAACTTAAGGGTCCCATGCCACCCCCAGACCAGAAGGGGACAGAGGTCTCAACTCCCAATTTACAAGCTGCTATGGGAGAGGATGGCTGGGGGCAACCCACGCCCAACATCCTGAAAAAGCCAAGTCAAGCCAGGCCAACACTTGCCTACCTGCTAAACATGGAGGCCTGGAGACTGGAAATAAAAGCTACCCAGAAATCTATTTTTGCAGGTAATGCTCCCTCAAAACTGGGAGCATTTGCTGTTCTTAATAGAGCAGTGAAATCAGTTCTTAATAGCTATATGACGTTCTGCAAGTTCCCTAGCCTTTCAGTGCTTCTGTTTATTTATGAGGATTTTACCACCTACCTCATAGAAAAGACTGACGTATTTTAGGTGCTCTGTAAACTGTTATTACTGCTGCTGCCCTCTGATCACAACAAAGCAGTAAGATCAGGAGTAGAAAGCTAGAGGTCAAGCTGGAAAACTAGGAGAAACTAGGAAGAAAATACTAACTTCATTTCTACTTCTCTGCCTTTGCTCTAGAGGTTATTTCCCATCAGTGAATGTCCTCCCTTCGTCCTCTTCCCAGCCCTCGCCCCTTCAAGGCCTCTGAGACCCACCTGGCCCATGTATCCCCTGAGCTTCCAAGCCTTCTGCTCTCCCCTCAAGGATTACTGCAGCGTGCATTCAACACCACTTAAGGCAGAATTACATGCTGCCTGGCATCTCTCGATAATTACAGATTCCACGTGTGAGTCTTGTTTTCCCAATTCTAGAATCACAGAATCTCCACGTTTGAAGGGACCTCATCCAGCCTCCGCCTGCTGCAGGGATTCCCTGAGGAATGTCCCCAGCAGATGGTCAGGCAGCCTCCACCCAAATGTGCATGGGCCGGGAGCTCCTCCCAAGAGGAGGTGCTTCTGCCCCTAGTATCCTGCCTTAAAGCTTCTCTTCAGCCCCCAGGTTTTCCCTCCCAGACAGGATGGGACCTCTCTCTCCACCAAGCTGTTCCATCTGCAGTCTATTCCAAAAGGGGCCCTGAGTCTGGCAGCACCAATCTTGGGTTCTGGCTGGGCTCAGCAGCCTATTCTTAGCTTTCAGGGACCTGGTGAGGAGTAAGTCTGTGGAAGCCCACATTGATAGGTGTGGTGGTGCATGCCAGTGATCCCAGCACTAGGGAGGCTGAGGCAGGATGATCGCTGTGAGTTTAAGGCCAGCCAGAGTTTGATGTCAAGACCCTGTCTCAAAACAAAAACAAAAGCCTACATAGTCATTCTCTTAAGACATCTTTCCTGAGACTGGCCAGTAAAGAGGGCACTGTGACTCCAAAGGCCACTCAGGTTTCAATAAGAGAATGAATGGGAAAACCTGAAGGGGAAGGACTGACTGGCTTGACCTGGGCTGCAGAGGACTTTGGTCCTAAGATTTGAGAGGATGTCTAGTTTCACCAGGAAGGGAAGGGAAGGCTTTCCTGTACAAGTGTTCAGAAGGGAAGGAAGAAGGCTAGCAAAGGCACTGGAGCCAACTGTGAGCTGGGAAGTTGGGACCTTGTCCTCTGGACAACCTGAAGCCACCAGCAGGGTAGAGAGAGATGAGGGAGAGACATGACCTGATCCAAGGCAACCCGCCAGGAGATGAGTTGAAGAGGGGAGGGTGGGCCATGAACAGAAGGTCATTGCAGATGAGGAACAATGGAGACACAGCCAAGCATCAGAGCCAAAAAAATCAACAAAGGGATAAGGAGGAAGAGCCACTCGAAACAAATGCAAGATTGGGAAGGATTTCGTGATTCACTGGATGCCTTGGTTGTTAATACTTGAAACCTCTGCCTCAAAGCAACATGGTAAGGACCCTAGACCAAGGGGACCAGTGCTCTTGGACTGCCCAAGTACTTTTTTTTTTGTACTGAGGATTGAACTCAGGACCTTGCGCTTGCCAACCTAGCGCTTATGCCACTGACCCATCTCCCTGGGCCTGTCCAGGTATCTTACTAAAATCCTGAATATGACTTAGTAGATGTGAGATGTGGTTTGAGATTCTGCATTTCTTCTTTTTATGTTTTCTTCTTCTGTAGTACTGAGGATTCATCTCAGGGCCTCATGCATGTTAAGCAAGTGCTCTGCCCCTGAGTTCAGCCCACCCCGAAGATTCTGTATTTCTTACAGGCTCGGATGTGACACTGATGTGGCTGGTCCCGGAACCAGATTTAGAGTAGCAAAGACCCACACAAGGCCATTTTATAAAACAAAGAAACAGGAACTCAAATAATTTGACAACTTGGAACACAGGGCTAGGATGACCTCCCGGATCTCTAGGCTCTCATTCTAATACTCCTTCCAAGCTACAATGTCAGTTTCCTCTCTGGGTAGTGTCTGGTATTGTCCAGTCTTTGTTTGGTGGAATGGAGGCATGCTGCCCAGAAGGATGCTTCAGGCACTGAGAGCCTGAAAAACAGAGTGGAGGCTGAGGGACCCATGACAGCCAGAAGAAAAAATTGGATCAAGAAACCCAGAGGAGAGAGGAAACAGAAGCAATGTCTGCCTTGTGGAGGGAATGGTATGAAGCCCAGCTGAGCTGCCAGCAGGGGCCAGGCAAGCATTGCCTGGAGGCCCAGGCAAGGAATTTGGACTAGTACTACAGGCTTTATGGACTCAACAGAGAAACATTAGGGGATCTAAACAAGGAAGCACCGTGGTGATGAAAAACAGGTCTGAGACTCTCAAGTGGCTTCAGTTTAGAAAATATTGATGGGGAGGGAGGAGTGGGCTAAGCCCTCAAGGCAGGGAGGCTGACCAGGAGGCTGCCACAGTGATCTAGGTGATTTGAGGTCTGCGTGAAAGACTGAATGACTGATTGGTCGTGAGCTGTGAGGGAAGAGGCAAGATGCCAGTTTCTGACTTAGGTACGGAGGTTGTTAGCAGATCATTCCCTGAGATGAGAGCCAGGGGAGCTGCTGGTTGGGGGAAGAGAGTGGCTCAGCCTCAGGTAGCTGGCTGTGAAGAGACTGTAGGGCAACCAACAGGGCTGTCCAGGGGACAGTGGGTACATAGGTATGGTACTTAGGACCTCACATTGCTGGCCAGGCCCTCAAACATGATCTAGCCTAACACATCTAACTCATTTCTACTTTAGAGAGAAGAAAACTGAACTGCAGGGGGAACAACAGGAAGCAGCTAGTGTATTTGAAATGCTTGGGAGACAGAGATGTGCTTCCAAATCACAGTTCTCTAGAGGACCTTGAGTAGTTAATGCCTCTGAGTTTCAGGTTCCATCTTCCTCCTCCTGCAGGGGATGCTTAACTCAGGCTCCATGGGCTCTGATACCCAAGGAGCGCTGAGGATTGGGCATGTGGGGTCTGTAGGAGCCAGAGGGCAGCAGAGCTCAGACAACAGTGCTGAGTGCTCTGCTTTGTTTTCATCCGCCTTCAGGTCCAGAATATCAGCCTCCGAGAGGGAGAGACAGTAACGGTGGAGGGCCTTGGGGGGCCTGACCCATTGCCCCTGGCAAACCAGTCTTTCCTTCTCCGGGGCCAAGTCATCCGCAGTCCCATGCACCAAGCTGCCCTGAGGTTCCAGAGCCTCCCACCACCTGCTGGGCCCGGCACCTTCCATTTCCACTACCAAGGTAAGGCCTGGGCAGCTGAGAGAGGAACCAGCCCTGACTGGCTGCCTTCCTGGGGATCTCTGGTATCATAACCAGTGGACTGGGGCAGTGGACAGAGAGGGGCAGGTGGGGCAGCAGAGGTGCCTAATGCATAGCTGAGTATGGCTCACTGGACACCTCCAGGGCCTTCCCATCTCTACACACCCCCTAGTGGATACAGAGCTCCCCACCACACTAGGTGTGCTCACTGTCATACCTTCATTCCATAAACTTTCCTAAACAACTGCTGTTTGCCACACTTATGCTGGACCTTGTCAATCTCACGATGAAACCATAAAGATCTTTGCCCTCAAGGAGTTCAGAATATCAGAAGGAGACACTTTAACAGGCAATAACAATAGAGACCTCTCTCCAGAGGTAGGGTTCAGGACCAAAGGAGCTTGACATGACCATCTGGAGGTATTCAGCTGCCAGCCTCCCTTCCTCACCTAGGCAGGACCCAGTCTATGCTCTAGTCAGCACAGAACACCTGTGGAAAGAGGGGCATTGAATGATAAAGTGGGCAAATCACACACTGAGTAGACTGGCGGATCTGTGTTTGAATCTCCCCGCAAGCTGTTGACGTTGAATAGGTCATTTGACTTTCCTGATTCTCCTTTTCTTTCTCGAAGATGAGACCAAAGCATCTACTACAAAATCATGTTTAGGCTTAAATAAAATGGTGTGTGTCTGATGCTTAACAAATGTTGTATTAAAGAAACTAGCCTTGTGGGCTGGGGACATAGCTCAGTGGAATAAGTACTTGCCTGGCAAGTGCAAGGTCCTGCATTTGATCCCCGGTACCACCAAAACAAACAAACAAACTAGTCTTGGGGCTGGGGATGTAGCTTAGCAGCATAAGTGCCTGCTTGGCAAGAGCAAGGTCCAGAGTTTGATCACTGGTAGAAAGAAAGAAGGAAAGAAAGAAAGAAAGAAAGAAAGAAAGAAAGAAAGAAAGAAAGAAAAAGAGAAAGAAAGTCTTGGCTCAGGTGGGGCACACGCCTGTGATCCCAGCACTCAAGAGGCTGAGGCCAGAGGATTGTTATGCGTTCAAGGCCAGTCTAGGCTACATAGTAAGTTCAAGGCCAGCCTGATCTACATAGCAAGACCCTGTCTCAGAGAGAGGGAGAGGGAGGGAGAGAGGGAGAGAGGGAGAGAGGGAGAGAGGGAGAGAGGGAGAGAGAGAGAAAGAAACTCATATTTATATGGCTTTCAGAATAGGGAAGGGAGAAAGGGGGTTGGGACTTTTCTGCTCCCCATTGGTGTCCTCCCTGCCCATCACTTCTCTGGGCACATTGTCAGCTTGATCTTTTGCACGTTTTAAATCAGTTCAGAACTGAGAGCCCTAACAGGGAAATAATTGATATGAGCAATCACAGGATTGTCTTGCGTTGTCAGGGACCACTTCTGCAGCCCTGCAGGGAAGAAACGACCTGAAAGCAGGAAAGCACTCAAGCTGGTATGCTCTGAACCAAACCTAAGGAGCACTCTTTGACTTAGCCTGGCTTCTCCACCCAAACTGGGGAAGAAGTTCTAGCATGGAAGTAGGGAGCCTGGTGGTAGAGGGGCTTAGCAGGGGCAAGGGGCCAGCTGAGACAGGGGTGAGCGTCTAGGCATCCCAGCCAGCCTTCCTAATGGCTCATCAATCCTCTCTGGCAGCCGGCATAATTTCACGCCACAGTAACCTTTTCTCTTGCTGCAAATTCCTTTGCACAAAACTCTGGACCCCTTCTCTGTTAGAGCAGACAAAGGGGGCTGAATGGCAGTGCGCTGAAGCCCAGCAAGAGAGAACAAGACCCCATGGAAGGGCTGAGAGAGCTGGCCCAGTCCTGCTCCTTCTTGGCTCTTAGAAGCCCTCCCTCCTCCTCGGCCCAGTTTTTGTCAATGATCAGCTCTTTCCTTAATGAGTGTAATTCCCCTAATTATAGGCTGTAATTAGCCCTGATCCCAGAGATGGGAATGAGAGAAGCATGTGCTCACACGAGCGTCTCATGGGCTAAGGAAAGAGGGTGCCAGAAGAGGGGGTGAGGGACGTAGTACCCATGCTTCAGGTGGAAGCTGTCCAAGCTGATCTTGGAGATTGGTAGATGGACCCCAAAACAGGCCTCAGGGCAGGGCAAAAATCCCACGTCCCCTCCTCCAGCCTCCACAGGGTAGGAGGCAGAGGGTCCTGAAAAGGCACCCCCCCCCATCCTGAGCATTTCTGGCACTGGACCTGGCTCCAAAAACAGACGCCAGTGAGAAAATAACTCAAATAACTCGACAGATTGCAGTGGTTCAGGCTCCCCGGGAACGGTTGTCATGGCAATAGGAGGAAGCTCATCCCAGAAAGAGGCACTTTACCCATTATGGAGTCTGGGGGTCTTTACCTTCTGCCCCCCCCCAGCCTCCTGCTCCTGCCTTATCCTGGCCCAGTCTGTGAAATGGGGACCTCCCTTTCCAAGTTGTGATTGATGCCAAGGAGAAGATGTAAATACAGGTGCTGAGCCTGACCTCTGGCTCTTGGTCTATACTTCCCTGTCGTTTAGCCCCTCGGCTTCCTCTACTCTGGGCAGAGCACCCCCATCCCATCCTACCATGGAATCCTTCCAGGTCACTATGAGTGTCCTGAACAAACTCCCTTGGTAGTCTCATCTACTACTCTCAGCCTTCTTTGACCTCTGATTCCAGATTTCCTCTTTAACTGGAGAAACAGGAGCTAGAAAGCAAGTACCTGCTAGAGCCAGGAGCTCAAGTTCCACCCCACCACTTACTTGCAATGTGATAAAGAGACAGAGGCTCTCTGAACCTCAGTTTTCCTTATCTGAAAGTGGGTTAATAATCCCTATCTCACCTTTCTTCCTCCTAAGCATACTGTGTCAAGTAAGAAGAGTGTGAAGGCACATTAGGCACTGAAAGTGCTGCAGGGGCTGGGGAGCTGGCTCAGTGGAATAAGCACTTCCCTGGCAAGCGCAAGGGTCTGAGTTCAATCCCCAGTTCTGCAAAAAAAAAAAAAAAGAAAGAAAGAAAGAAAGAAAAGTGCCGCAGATGTGATATTATTATTCAACATTATAAACAGTAACATCAGGCTAGGGTGTCAGGCATTAGTGCCAGGCATAGCAGGTATGTCTTCTAACATAATCTTCATAGCACTGGATGCAATACTGTAAATGGATGTAATCTGAGGCCCAGAAAAGAGAGGTAACTTCCCCAAGGAGGCACAGCAAGCAAGGGAGCTTATCTTCAAATCCAGGCAGTCTGACCCAGAAGCCTACATCCTAAGCCCCGTCCTACACTACCTGCCAAGCAAAAATGGTCTCTTATTGGCCATTCTCTCAAGAGACAGAAAAGTAGGAACCATCCCGCTTTCACAGACTTAGTAAGAACAGGTGGCACGTGCCAATAATCCCAGCATTTTGAGATGCTGAGACAAGAGGATCACAAGATCAAACCCAGCCTGGGCAATTTAGGGACCTAACGAGACCCTGTCCTGAAACGGCTGGGGATGTAGCTCAGTATGAAGGCCCTGGATTCCATCCCTAGTGCCATAAAACAGGAAAGATCAGGACATGGGTAAGTCACAAAACTCTTCGCGATCCTGAACAGACCCTTTTGCCATTCACACAAATGCACAGAGGAGCTCAAGCCTTCTCTCAGCTTTTCTGCTTAACTCTTTCCTTCTTCCCCACTTTCCAGGCCAGTTTTTAGCTGCCCTCTTCCTTAGTTTGGACCTGGTTGGGACATTCCAGGTTGTTTTGTAGGATTTGCCGTCACCATGTGGTCGTGCGTGGTATGACAACACACAAGCCTCCAGGTTTCCCAAGGCAACTGGTCCCACCCCCAACTTCCGAGAAAGCTGGTTCTGCCTCACCGCCCTCGCCCCCAGCCTGTCTTTAGAAGAAATCCTGCACGCTTGCCATCAAGATTTTTAACATCTCTCACTGAATACTGGTGAAGCATTCGCTGTCTGACTTCAGTCTTTCCTGCTGCAATTCATATTTGTCTTCTATAGGAAAATAATATCACACTTTACATCAGTATAGGCTTTTCACTATTTCAAATACTTTCACATCTACTAGTCATTCCATAAATACTTCTTGAAAATATAGTTTCAGCTGGTGCCAGGGAAACCAAACTGAATAAATACTACTGCACTTAGTTTCTTTTCTTTAAACATTTATTTATTTAGTGTGTGTGTGTGTGTGTGTGTGTGTGTGTGGCCAGCTCAGCCCACCAGGGGGCGAGGCTGGCTGGCATGTAGTGCTGGGGGATCGAACCGTGGTCCCTGTGCTTTGCCAAGCTTGTTCCATGTAGGTGCTTTAGACCACTGAGCCATCTCACCAGCCCCTACATTTAGTTTCGGACTAACGTAGGCTAGCTTTTTTTTTTTTTTTTCCCCTAGCATTTTAAAACTCATTTAACAAATGAAGAAACAAACATAAAAAAGTTAAATACCTGCCTGAAGTATCACAAACCTTGGGCCAGATTCTAAGCCTACCAAGTTTATGCTCTGAGCTTTTTCCACTAACCAGGTCAATCCACTGGAAATATCATTGGCATCTTCTAGGGAAGAGATTTGGGGGTATTTTCTGGACCTCCTAATGCTTCTTTCTCTGGTCCCAAGTGATGTCTCCAGGCCAACTGGGGCAGATTGGCACAGACCTTTACACACACACCCATAATGGCTCAGCTTACACACACACACACACACACACACACACACACACACACACCACTCACTCTCTCTTTACAGCCTACCTCCTGAGCTGCCACTTTCCCCGAAGACCAGCTTATGGAGATGTAACTGTCACCAGCCTCCACCCAGGAGGCAGTGCCCACTTCTACTGCACCACTGGCTACCAACTGAGGGGTGCCAGGCTTCTTACCTGTCTCAACGCCACTCAGCCCTTCTGGGATTCCCAAGAGCCTGTCTGTATTGGTAAGTGATGCCAGGGGAGAGGGCTCAGTGCTGAGCAGAGGAGCTAGGCAGGGGCTCATCCCTGCTGTCCATTGCTATCTAGCACTTTTACTTGGTCTCCATAAGAAATCAGAATATGGTTATAGATCTAAGTGACCTTCATCCAACCTGAACTTGTTGACCACCTACTACATGAAGGTGCCACCAGCACAGAGCTGAATGAAGCAGGGAATCTGCCTTCAAAGAGCCCACAGTTCCAGGGATGGAGGGCACTTAAGTCACCAGTTTCCAGAGCAGAAAGTAAAAGATACCAATGAAGAGACATAACATGACCTTGGAGGGGAGGAAGGAATCATTCTTAGCTTGGTAGTAAAGAGGCTTCCAAGCAGAGGTGGCACTGAAGTTTGACATTTTGATAAAGAGCTGTGGAGGATCTGACTGTCAGGCCAAGATACTAAGAGGGGAGCTGAAGCTTTTGAGAGGAAGCGGGAGGAACTACCCAGAACTACCCTTCAGGAGAGCCAGTGGAACAGCAATCAAGCTGGGAGGCCAGCCAGGCCACAGGGTTTGAATTTAGATGATGACTCTGAGCATGGAGAAAAGGGAAAAAAATCCAGACACACTGATGAGGGAACAGGGTCGTCCCCAGGTTCCAGTCCTGGTAATGAGATCTGAGATTACCAACAGAAGGAGGCTTGCTGGGGAAAGGAAGATGGTGTTTGGCCCATGGTATGACAGGCAACTTGGGTGTAGTGAGAATCCAAGCCAGGGAGAATGGTTCAAACCCAAGGGACAAGACAAGGAAGGCTTCCCAGAAATATTAGTTTGGGGAAGTAGGGTGGATTTTTGGAGTAACATACATGAGGGGGTGTAGACACGAAGCAGCATGATACAGTGAGGATACAGCAAGGTGTTCTGAAGATGATATACAGGGCAAAGAAACTGAAAGTGAGCCAAGGGCTGGAGTCATAAAGGCCTTAAATGCCATTTAAGCTTGGTCTCTGTCCTGAGGGCAACAGTGAGCCCTGAGTAGATTTATTTATTTATTTATTTATTTATTTATTTATTTTTTGCGGAACCGGAGATTGAACTCAGGTCCTTGTGCTTGCCAGGGAAGCGCTTATTCCCACTGGGCCATCTCCCCTGCCCTCCTGAGTAGATTTTAAGCCAAGATGTGGTCAAATTTGAAGGGCAGTTCTATGCCAGGACCAAGCAAAAGAGTGGTTCTGCCTTCTGCAGAGAAGCTGAGACTTACCCTAGCCCCCAGAAGTATTAGTAGGTTACCATATTCTGCTGTCTGAGGTATTTGGGGGCAGTGGTACTATGAATTGCCCATAGTAACCTGGTCCTGAAAGTGGGAGAGGGCAGAGCTTTCCACCAGAGGAAAGTGCTGCCTGGAACCAACTACCTCCTGTCTCAGGGCTCTTCTTTGGTCCCACCTGCCCGGCAGGGGCTTGTGGCCAAGTAGTGCAGCAGGGGCCAGGGAGATGGCTCAGTAGAATAAGTGCTTCCCTGGCAAGCACAAAAGCCTGAGTTCAATCCCCAGTTCCGCAAAAAAAAAAAAAAAAGTAGTGCAGCAATCCTCAGTGCTAGGCTAGGCAAGCTGCTGTCTTCTTGGGAAGAGAAGACAGTCCCAAGCCAGAGGGAGTCAATCTGTCAAGACCCTAAAGGATCAGCTCAGGAATGGCAGTATATTGAGGCTTGAAGAGCTACTTCAGAAACGGTCAGAGGCCATGTGTTGGTGGTAGGCACATCAGGTAATTGTCATCCCTGACTTAGCTCTGCCCCTTTTAAAATTCATCCATTAAAACCAGGCATGGTAGGGGCTGGGGAGATAGCTCAGTGGAATAAGCACTTGCCTGGCAAGCGCAAGGGCCTGAGTTCAATCCCCTGTTCTGCAAAAAACAAATAAATTAATTAATTAAAACCAGGCATGGTAGTACTTGCTGGTAATCCCAGCACTGGGAAGGCTGAGATAGGAGGATCACTATGAGTCTGAGCTGTGTAAGGAGACCCTGTATCAAAGAAACAAAGAAGAAAGAAAGAAAGGAAGGAAGGGGAAGGGAAGGGGAAGGAAGAAAGGAAGGAAGGAAGGAAGGAAGGAAGGAAGGAAGGAAGGAAGGAAGGAAGGAAGGAAGGAAGGAAG